ACTTTTTTCAGGGCCATTGTAAGTTTGAACGGTCACTAAATAAATAGTTGTAAGTCAAGGAGTACCTGCACCAGGTTGCTTACCTCTGCCTTTAAGGATCACCAATTGATTTAAAGCTACCCTTAAATGGTGGGGCAATTTGCCACGGCCAACTTACCCTGGTCAACTCGCCACAACCAACTTGCCAACTTGCCATGGCCAATTTGTTGTGAGGCAACACGCTGCTGGATCAGAGTTACACTAATATCAAAGGCCTGGTTGTTCCGGCAGGCCTGGGGCTGTTGATGGATATCCAGCCCCTGCTTAGATGTAATGGATGATGTGAATTTTTAATATTGTATTTTTCTATTTTTAAATTTAAACTGTTTCTGTCTTGCTGTGAGCCGCCCAGAGTCCCGATGGGAGTGGGCGGCATACAAATTTTAATAAACCTTAAACCTTATACTCTGGTGTGTCTTATACTCCAAAAAATATGATAACCAGGAGGTATATGGGACTAACATACAGGGGATGAACTAACAGCACTGAGAACCTGGTCCACTTCCTCAGAACTAAACAAAATCACACTTATTCCAGGCAATACAGCCAGAGTATCCTTCTATCAATTTTGTAGGATCTCTTCAGGGAGCCTGAACAGCCCTGTTGGTGCATATCTGACTCTTCCAAAGGGGGTGTGTGTCAATTCCTTTTGAACAGTCATCAGCCAACAATGTGAATATGCTATATGGATATAAAAATAACTATGTTTTGTTGCCATTTATTACCATAAGGTGGCCTTTATGGGTAAGATTTTTTTTAAAAAGATAATGTTCCTTTAAAGAAACTTAAAATCTCCCTGAATAGTTTAAGTACAATATTCTATAATCTATTTTATTTTTTAGTGTTGGTGCTTGACACTTAAAAGTTTACTACCATTCATGCTGAGTAAACTATAAATAAGCCAGTTTGAAAGGAAAACTGCCATGGAGAATAGTGATACAATTGCAGCAATGCCAAAATTCCAAAGAATTCTATGATATCTGAAGGGAAATTAATTATGAAATAAGTTTTCTTGAGTGAAGTTTACTTTGATACATGCAACTGTCCATAAAATAATTGCATTTTTGCAGTTGAGGATTAAACCTGTCAATAACCCAAACCTAAGAAAGACACCAACCAACCCAGAACCATCTTACCATTCCAGATCTATTCACAGGTACTATTTATTCTGGCTAACTGAAGAGCTTCCATTAGTGTCTACAAATTTTTCTCACTCTAACATACAGCACTTTGACTTCAAAAAGAGAATACAAAGAACACTTGGCTATCTTGATGTTGTGAATCTGCTAACACAATAAGCTCCATCCTCACTTCTTTAGAAAAAAAATGCAAAAAAATCCAATTAGTTTACTTTCTTCACTGACTATCAACTGACTTATCACTGACTATCAACTTTGCAGGATTTTTCTTCACTGTCTGCAACTTGATTATTTTCCCCACTTAAATTTCTTTCACTAAATTGGCCTTTTGCCTAGGTGAAGCAGCTACAATCTATTACATCGTTAATGCTTTAGAAATAAGCAGAATATTTGTCAATCTTATAGCAACTTTTAAGATGCCTGGAATTCCCCAGCCAGAATTTCCCAGCCAGCAATGTTGGCTGAAGAATTCTGGCAGTTGAAGAGGAAAACACTGGATTAGCATAAGAAAACGTAGAAAAACACATTTATATATGTTAATGAAAGTCAACCATCCTGAGGTATAGCAGGGCACACATCTTAGTTATCATTCCACATGCTTCCATGCGGAAGTCCCCAGGGCTCAAACTTCGGCATTTCCAGGTAAACTTTGAAGCAGTCATGGAGTTACACTAAAGAATATACCATGACTGTGTTCACCTGATAGACTTATTTCTGATTAAGTTAATCACAGGCTATGGAGTTAACCCACTTTTCTGGTTTCGTCTGTACTACTTGTAACTGTGCAGCCTGGTTTTGTACAAACCTAACAAACATGCACAGATCCTCTTTCAATTCGGAGTTCTCCCCAAAACTTAACCAAGGAACATGTCTCATCCTCAGCCATTGTCTATGAAGATTCTCAGTCATCCATATCATGGTTGTCCCAAAGGTGCTTTTTCAAGAGGCAACTGGACTTTCTGGTTTTTCTTTGAAGACGTTTCGCTTCTCATCCAAGAAGCCACTTCAGCTTCTTTACGTCTTCAAAGAAAAACCAGAAAGTCCAGTTGCCTCTTGGAAAAAAAGCACCTTTGGGACATCCTCAGCCATTGTTACAACAACCATGCAGAGAGTTTAGATTCTACCATTAAAGTTTAGAAACAGCCTTCCATCCTGCAAAGCGCGGCCGATATCAGGACCGCTGTTTCTTCCTGGGCTTGAAGTTACTACGGAATAACTCTTTGCAAAAATAAATAAATAAATAAAATGGGGCGACGGAAAGGGACTCCTAAGGCGGTTCCCTCTCCCTCGCCGACACCGTGGGCTCCCCCCTCCCTTAAGAAAAGACTATCTTCGCAAGTCGGTCATTTCTGCAAGCGGGCGGGACTTCGCAGGCGGTTCTGCAGGAGGAGAACGGAGGGGAAACCCGCCTTGGCCAAAGCAGGCAGGAAAAGCCGAATTTCAACACGCGGCGGGTCAACCGCAGCGGGAGCGCAGCGAGGGCTGCTGCCCGCGGAGTCAGCGGTATTGGCCGGCCGGCTGGCCCTCGCGCGCTTTCTGTACCTCGGTCCCCGACGGGCGCCCGCCAGGCCTGTCAGCCCCCAGCAGAGACAGCGACGCGCTCCAGCCAACCCCGGCTTTGCTCCGCCCCCTTCGCCCTCGGCGTGACTGAGCCGAGCCAGCGCTTTTTTTCCCCTTTTAAGACGCGCGCATGAGCGGTGAGGGCCGGGGCCGAACGGAGCGGGCGGATCCCGACGGGACCCGGTGACGTGTCTTGTGTTACAGCTGCCCGCCCCGGCGCGGCTCTTGGCCGGCCTGGGTTTGGCGTGTCGGGTGAGGTGGAAGGGAGAGAAAGAAGAAAGGGCGACGGCGAGAAAGACGGAGGTGTCACCGGAAAGGCGCCTGTTAAACACCTCTGCCGTCCGCCGCTTTGAAAGGGGAAGGCACGCCGGCCCGCCCGCCCTGAGCCATGTTCAACGTCGAGAGTCTGGAGCGGGCCGAGCTCGGGGAGAGCTTGCTGACTTGGGTGAGTGGCGGAAGGCCCCGGGCTGAGCAACGCCTAGGCTGTCGCCGGCAACCTCCTCCTCCGCCCCGGCTCGGCCTTGCGTGCCTTTTTTTCCTGGTCACCGCCACCCGCCGGTTTCCGAAGTAGCCGGGCGTAGTTGGTCTTCTGAAGTTGTGTTTTTCAATTTTGGGCTGAGATATTCAGGGTTGGTGGCTGAACGTGAGATGCGGGAATGTGTTAGGTTGGCCCTAGAATCGGGGGCGGGTGGGCTGCAGAATGCCTCTGAGTAGATTGGGCTTAACCAGGGACTGCAATTGCGGGCGAAAGGCTCCACGCAGCTTTCTTTTTGTTCTTGGCGGAGGCAGAGATGCTGCTTTTCTCTCTCTACCGGGGCTGAGTTAAAATAGCTGTCCTTTCATCCCTTCAAAAACAACCCCCCTCCCCGCCTTCCTTGAAATGCATTTCACGACTTTCCAATGGTGTAGGGACTTTCTTCCTCCCTTGCTGGTTAAAAAAAAAAAAGTTGACTGTTTGGGCTGGTTCGCTGCTGGGCAATCTTGGAAAGAAAGGGCAGAGGATAGCAATGGCACTTAAGATTTATGTACCACTTCAGAGTGCTTTGCAGCCCTCTCTAAGGGGTTTACAGTGTCAGGCTATTGCCACCCCCAACAATCTGGGTCCTCGTTTTATTTTATAACTATTCTTATGATTTATTATGGATGTATTTTATGATGACTATGATCATGATTTATCACTTACTGCTTGTATGTACACTGAGCGATTTTTATACACTGGAGACAAATTCCTTTGTGTTCACTCACTCTTGGCCAATAAATAATGCTATTATATTCTATTTACCAATGTTGGAAGAATGGAAGACTGAGTTAATCTTGAGATACTTATTATTTAAGACTCGTTATTCTTTAGGTACAGGATGTTTAATATTTTATGCCTCCGGAGATTATTTAGAATCTGCAATAGTGATGAATATCTGTATTCGAAATATTATTTCAAATCTGTCCAGTTAAGAATATTAAAATGTTATCTAGTTTGGTATTTCCATACTTAGTTTGCTGTCTCTGTACTCTGTTACCGTGTTTCCCCAAAATACGACATGTCCTGATAGTAAGGTCATGCCACATTTTTCTGGTGAGCAAAAATCTAATCCCTCCCCCGCAAATAAGCCCCCTGGACAACCTTCCACCTCAGGCCAGGCAGAGTGCTGCTCACCAATTTAGGGGTATTCCGAAGGTGCCAAGCCGCGGGAACCGGGGAAGGCAAAGGTGATCGTGTTGCTTGGCCCCTTCGGGATACTGCTAGGTTGGTGAACAGCACTGTGCCTAGATGAAGAGGGGGGTTGCTGGGTGGCTGCTCTCTTGCGAGTGGGCTCCCAAAGAGCCAGGCCCAGACTCAGGGGTGAATGGCTGTGTTGCGCTGTCGCAGCAGCGCAACACAACAGCCATGAAGCGACTATGCTCATGAGCAGCCACCCAGCAAACCCCCTTTCCAGCCATGCACAGCACCATTCACTGACCATGGGGTATCACCAAGCCCCGTGAGTGCCAGGTCACCTCTGCTGCCGCTGCCATCCCAGCATGGCTTTTTTAGCAGCTTCCAAACCAAGTCTTCCAGCAGTGGCCGCTCTGGGCGTATGCTCTATGGTTGTACGCTCTGCCAGCAGCTGGCCCACAACCGTAGAGCGTATGCTCAGAGCGGCCACTGCTGGAAAACTCGATTTGGAAGCTGCCAAGTAACCCATGCTGGGATGGCGGCGGCAGCGGTGGTGCCCTGGCTCTGCAGGGAGAGTTGGGCCAGGGCATCATGAGGCATGTGAGTGAGAGCGGAACACCCGCTCGTGCAACCCCCCTCTCCAGTCATGTAGAGCGCCATTCACTGGCATTTCGAAGGTGCCAAGCCGCGGGAGCCGGGCGGTGGTGAACAGGTGCTCATGCGGCTTGGCGATACCCCTAGGTCAGTGAATGGAGCTGCGCCCGACTAGAAAGGGGGTTTGCTGGGTGACTGCTCATGAGCGTGGTCACTTCATGGCTATTGTGTTGTGCTGCTGTGACAGCACAACACAGGCATTTGCCCCTGAGGCTTTGCTCGGCTCTTTGGGAGCCCGCTCGCAAGAGAGGAGTCGCCCGGCAACCCAAAAACAATAAATCCTCCCCTCATAATAAGGCCCAAGCCATATTTTGTGATTAAAAAGAAAATAAGACCCTGTCTTATTTTCGGGAAAACACAGTATCACATCCTGTTGTGATTGCATTCTGAATTGGTCTCCTGCATTCCTTTCATGTAGGGCATGCATAAGTATTTCTACTGGGAGAGAGGAGTTATTTCTACAGGACTGCTTGTTTGTTGATGTAACAAAGATGCAGTTTTATATTGAAGATGCATTGGGTGTTTCTATGTTGTAAGGTACCATGGATAGAGAAGATGAGTCCCAACATGCATAGTATTTCAGGGTTTTAGCCAAACCAGTCTGTGCGCATTCAGCTAGGTAGGTGTGTAGGCATTTAAAGTGCTTACATTCTTGTCACACATAAATCCATATTGAACACACAGTTATTCGTGATTGTCCTAATCCTTCCAAAAGAAGTGTTGGTGCTGTTTCATAAAGAGTTCTATTACTTCTATTACAAGTGAGAGTGCATAAGTTACTGCCATTTACAAATCTATCTTAAAAGGTTAAATCATGACAACTAGACAAAAGTTTATTAAAAACAGAGATGTTTCATTACTCATCCAAGTAACTTCTTCAGTCAAAATAAAAATTTGAGTAGGCAGAGAGTCAGTCGTTGGAAAGGACCAACTCTTGGCATACAGACTGCAGGGAGTTTCTCCCCAGAATGAAAAACTTTAATAAACTTTGGTCCAGTTGCCATGATTTAACCTTTTAAGATACATTTGGCCTGAATGATTGAACCTTCATTTATAAGCCATTTGCAGACTTAAGCATGATCTGCTCTTGATTAAATTTATGAAGAAAATATATTTTTAGAAATAGACTATCTTCAGAGTTCATCTAGACTTTAAATTAAAATTTACACACAAACAACAGAGAG